CTCACTCACTCACACCCATGGCCAGAAACTTCGAATTCATATGCTGATTGGCCAAGCTAACACCTATTGTTAAACTGCATGCTTTGATTACCCTGATACTCTGATACCCTGAGCTGCTCAGACCAGCAAAGGATAAAGAGATACAGTAAACTACGGTTATAACGAACACGCTTATAACGAACTGACGGTTAAACGAACTACTTTTTTGGTCCCGATAATTAGCTGTATTATGCTGTATATATGCTTATAACGAACTACGGTTATAACGAACTAAAATTAGTAGTCCCTTTGAGTTCGTTATAACCGTACTTTACTGTAATACTAAATCAGATCAATGAGTATGGTGTTGCCATATGTGTGGCAGTTGGGATCCACACCCTTGTAGCACCCACAGGGTATGCATTGTATTATTTATATTTGTCTAAGACTTAAGATGTAATCTAAATGTGTAAGCGTTATGTATTTATATTGTGTATATATTATAGTCAAATGAAAGTCAGTGAGTGATTGCCCTTGAATGTCGGTCTTGTGTAGCATGTATATTATTGTATATTTTCTAGTATAATCTTTTAGGGTTCAGTCTATCTAGTGTTTTAATGGATGACTAGTCTATGTAATACTTGATCTTATGCATCGCATCGCAATAAAGACCTCAACCCGTAGCGTGTGTTTGTTCACTCTAAAAAGACATGCACTAAACTGCTATAGTATAACGCACAAACACGGAGACACACATGCATGAACGTAAGAGGCGATCGGGTAGTCAGACTCGCTGACTTGGTTGATGCATCTCATCGTATCCCAATTGCATGGATCGATGATCATGATATTAATTCAAACTGTTTAACCTGTTGGTGCAAAGGTTTGTCATTTTTCTTCTACCCTCTCCCAAAACAGCTGACTACAGGTTACACACAACCAGATGTTTTCCCATAGACTTCTATAGTAACGTTATATTTCTTTTTTAAATAACTAAGCATTCAACAGCTATTACCTGTACGTGTGTGCACAGTTTGGCCTTAGAGCAGCAATGAAAACACAAAAAAGACAAGCTTAGCCAGTTCCTTTTCCGAGTACAGGAAGCTAAACAAACCACACCCAGTTTCGCACCAAATGTCACCTACTTGAAAATAGCTATGGTCACATTCAGCATAAGTCATCATGTTGAAAAAGAGAGTACTAAATATAGAAAAACATGGTTTAATAACTGGATGGATGTACATTTAAAAGACATAAGAATCTTACACAAAATCCTCCAATCACAGCCTGCAGATATCTCTAGATCTGCACTGAAGGCTTTCTATCAATGTAACATCGACCCTCTGTCCACGTACCAACCCTGAAACAAAATATATCCAATACTACCCATGCAGTCTGTAATGTTCGGCAAGTCTAGATTACTGCAGTATCTGAACATGAAGAGAGTCTCTGGGCTCCTTTTTATTATATTTTATAACGATAATATAACAACTGTTTTTTTCTGTAAAATAGTTCATTTCAGAGACTAGATGTGATTCTACGTTTCCCACTTCATGTTTCACTGTAGTCCAAACAGGCAACGTTCTCTACTTCGTATTCCGAGATATCATGGCCTCTTGACTCCATAACCGCGGGTGTGCGCCATCTTTGATGTTTTGGTCACATAGTTTCCTGCTTTAATCACGACCCAGTTGATGGCAGATAGCTTCATCCTGCAGCGATAACCTCCAGCTGATGATGTATGATACCTCCTAATGACCAACCCTGCCACAGTTCCTATCTCCTGTGGTCAAATGTCCTTCTAAATAATCATCAATTTTACAGCTTAATCAAGAACAACACTCGAGTGTTATCCACAGAATATCCTGTGGGGAAGCATTTTAAGGGAACATTAATAATCTGAATGGTTGAACCTCATCACTTTGACTCAAAGGATGTCACCGTCCTGAAACCTATTTAATAGTCATAATAATTATAGGGTTGTTAATGTAATGATTGGGTCATTATATACACTGGATTGCCACCATGTGAAATGGAATAGTGTATTGGCATTCTATAATTATAGATATGGTAGGGCGAGCTGGCACCGGGGAGCTTGTGTGTTGTGGCTTATGAAAACAAAACCGAAAACCTTTCTTCTGTAAAGGGTAGACAACTGGCGTGTTTTCAGGTCATTCCCCAATTACTCCATCAGCCGTATTGGTAAATCATATTTCGTTTCAATTCCCCCATTATCATAAGTGGCAGGAAATGTGAACCCAATATTACACGCATGATCTTGCTTTGGCAAACCCGAATTTGTAATGTGTTCCTCATATTATTGAAATAAATTCTCTTGACGTTCAATTACTCATATCAGCATGCACATAATGTATTGTACTCGGTATTACATTTCAACTAACTGCGCGTTTAGATCCAGGATAAAAAGTATTGTGAGCTGATTGTGATATCTACGTCTACTCCGTCACCAGCCGCAGAGCCACAAAAGCTGACACTTTTCTGACGCTTTAGTGACAAAAATGATGTCAGATGCAATTCACTATTTTGACGTGTCCACGTGTTTGTAAGGTGAATAATTGACCTGTTTTGTGTTTGTGATGGGTGTCATCGATGGGGCAGGATACACCTCTTCGCGAACACCTGGTATCTACACTATTTGATACTGATTCATAAACAGGTGCTCATAATGTAGTCAGGATCGTACAATGGACTCTGCTTTCAGTAGATATTTCTCATGATTATTTTTTTTTTTTTGGGGGGGGGGGACGGGTGGCCCAGTCGTCTAAGGCGCCGCGATTCGCTGTGCAGAGTTGCGTCCCTTGGCACGCCAGAAACCTATGATTGTGGTTTCGAATCCCGGTTCGCCCCGATTATGTTTCTAGGTTTGTCCGCACCATACCCGTGCTCGTGGGTTTCACCGAAGTGGTAAACGTCTGAGACCTGCATCACTTCGTGCTTTCCTCCCACATTAGGGGCGGTCGGGTAGCCTAGTGGTTAAAGCGTTCGCTCGTCACGCCGAAGACCCGGGTTCGATTCCCGACATGGGTACAATGTGTGAAGCCCATTTCTGGTGTCCCCCGCCGTGATATTGCTGGAATATTGCTAAAAGCGGCGTAAAACCATACTCAGTCAGTCAGTCAGTCCTCCCACATTAAGCTGACACGCCGCGATATAACGGGAATACTGTTAAAAGCGGCGGTAAACCCAACTCACTCACTCACTCACTCATGATTATGGAAACACGGTTGTGTCGCTTTTATTTAAGTTCTCACACATGACGACACACAGTTTTTCAAGAGATCCTGATTGTTCTCAATATTGCCGCAATGGCAGCCTTTTTTCGAAACTCTTTTTTGGGGTAATTGACCTCGCCTTATGCTCACCAAAACACTTTCTAAACCTACGAAGATGACATCGTGAAGAGTGAGGGAAACTGTGGTTTCACAACTGATGTCATGTGTTTTGCCTTCAAACGTTCAAATTACGTGGATCGATTCTCATGATATCAATCACTGGATTGTCTGGTCCAGACTCGATTATGCACAGATCGCCGTCATATAGCTGGAATATTGCTGAGTGCGGCGTTAAACAACAAACCAACCAACCAATCAAACGTTCTAAATGAACACCCTTATACAAATAGATTGCATTGAATACACGAACAGGGTGAGCTACAGTCCCTTTGCTATGTGTATCTCGGAAGAACCGTAAAGGACATTGCCGCACTGGAACTCTCACAGAGCACTTCCAGTAATGTCCAAGCCTAAGAATAACCTGAGGATAACAAGCAGCCCATCGCCCGGCAACGTTCAATGGCCTGGCTCGCCAGGCTGACGTAGGCTTACACGAATCGAATGATTTATGTTTGTCGCCTACGAGCGCCATTTATTGGTCTTCTCTCATCTTGTCTGAATATCAGCACCAAGAACCAGTAATAGCCAGATATAGCAGCCAAAGCCAACTTGTAGGCAAACAATGTTCCATCGCCTCAGTACTGCGCAGATATCTTACCGGCAACGGCGTCATACAATCGCCATATTTGTCCGTTTTTAAAAGCAAATTTACTAAACGTTGAAAATAATAAAATAATAATAATCATCATCATCATCATATCCATTATTATTAAAAAAAATAAATTAATATTTTTATTTTGTTGCACGAGAGACACATCATCCTGCATGGACTGATCCCCACTGATATAGTGAATTTAACAGTTTCATGTGTCGCTCGGTATTAAGTGTAGACATGTGGCCATGACTCGCCATCCATCATATCATAGTGTTGATAGTTACCCCATTCCACACTGATGTTGTGGTTAGCACATGTACCCATATACCTGTCGGTGATTTGGCTCGTTTGTCAACAATGCCAGCAACATGTCACTCGTGTGGCACCAGACGGGGTCACATTGTCCTGCTAACATCACAATAATTTCCTGCGCTCGTTTAATATGCGCCCGGGTCAGACTAGATCTCCATCACCACACGTGATTGTTGTATTAGACGACAAAATGAGGATTGGGTGGACGAGAGAGAGAGAGAGAGAGAGAGAGAGAGAGAGAGAGAGAGAGAGAGCACGCAGGGTCTTGCTTTGGCAAACCTGAATTTGTAATGTTTATTATTCAAATACATTCTCCTCAGTGGTGTGTGTGTGTGTGTTCGAGAGAGAGACAGAGAGAGAGAGAGAGGTTGATAGTATTAGCATCCATCTACACAGTTCGTATACGATGGCATGCATCATCCAAGTATGTAGTTTCTTTTGTCGTAGTATCAGCAGCAGTAGCATTAGTAACAGAGGCAATCTAGACTTACCAATCATTCTAAACTTGAACTGGATTCAATTTTTTTATTATCTAGTATCTGGAAAACAGACTATGTTAGCGGCTACGTTTAAACTTCTAAAATGTGTATCTGCTCGGTAATCAAATGTTTGCATTGAATTAGTATCGTCACACATTGTAACCAAGACACTTTAGGATTTACCATGAAGCAGTATAAACTAATTATTTCCTTGTATTGCAGGCGCCTTCCTCATCCCGTTCATAACCTTCCTTATACTGTGTGGCCTGCCGTTGTTTTTCCTGGAGCTCTCGGTGGGGCAGTTCTCGGGGAAGAGTGCTCTACATGTGTGGAAAGTTTCTCCGCTGTTTGTTGGTAAGTAGACTAACATTTAGTCTCTGAAATCTTATATTACACAATATCCTTCTTGACTCTAAAAATAAAAAAAATTCCCTATGCGGATTTGTGTGGAATAGAGCTAGCTTGAGCTGGCTAGACTTGCTTTTGTATGCATTTCTAGATTATTATTTTTTCATAAAATAAATATATTCCACGGTCATGGTGCAGGACTAGTTGGTAAGTTGCTAACCGATATCCTTGTCGACCACCTTAGCCTAGTCTGTCATACAGACCCTTTAACAAATATATCCAATACAGCCCATGCATGTCTATAATGTTTGGCAAGTCTAGATTACTGCAATACTGAAAATGAAGAAAGTCTCTGGGCACCTTCTTAATATATTTTATAACTATAATTTAACAATTATTTTTTCTGTAAAATATGTTCATTTCAGAGACTAGATGTTAGTATAACGCTATCCCGTTTACCAAACTTCAGTGCAAGGACAGCCACGAAGGGTATGAGGGTTTTGGGGTCAGTAGGTCGAAAAACGTAAGATGAAAAGAAATCCAACTTCAAATATTGTTTGTAATTTCTTCAAAATGTAGGTAATTTCATATTGATAGCGACAGTAAATTTTTAAAATGTTCATATTTGTTTCTGGTTTGCGGAATAGAAAACAATGCTTTTCATGTTTTAAATTTTATTTACATTTCATTATTTTGGAGGATTTGAAAAAAGTCTAAGGTGCAGAATTTCGCTCTGGTTAATGGGACAAGACGGGTCATTGTGGGGAATTTCATTGTGTTTTTTAATGTAATGAATAAAGCAATAGCTTATCAAAGGGAATTTCCTTTTATAATTTATTTTTTTTATCCTAACCCAACATTCATCCCACTGTTCGTCTTGTGACGCTGTTCTTTGTATCGGATTTCGTTCTATCACTATTTTCGTTTTATTCTACATTTCGATTTATCCAGCAATATCCGACTAATCGTCCTGTTACGCAATTATTATTTTATTCAGATTTTTTTATCCAGGCTCGTTATATCCGACTTTCCAAACCCACGAGCACGGGTATGGTGCTGACAAACCTAGAAAGATAATCGGGGGAACTAAGGTTCGAACCCACGATCATAGGTTTCTGGCGTGCCCAAGGGACGCAACTCTGCACAGTGGATTGCAGTGCCTTAGACAACTGGGCCACCTGTGTCGCCGACGTTATGACGAAGACATTTTAAATATTCTAATATCCTTATAGCAACACATTATATTCTGCTTTGTTGTTTTGTTCCTGAAAGTGATAACATGTTTGTGTGTCGACACAGCTTAAATGGGCTCAAGCACTCAGTCTAATATATTATCATTGAAATTATAGGAATCGGCGTTTCAATGAACGTCGTGAGCGGCATGTGCGCCCTCTACTACAACGTCATCATCGCATGGACGCTATACTACCTCGGCAACTCCTTCCTCCCAAAGCTTCCCTGGACCTCGTGTGACAACGCATGGAATACCCCTACTTGTTTTTCATTGGACGAGTGTCTAGCCAATCAGAGGAAAGCCAACAAATCAGCTATGGCCAGGAACACTTCTGAAGCATTTGGTGAAATGTACACAACGTCGCAAAACGTTTACAACAACGTCCTTCTCTCCAACGACAGCTGGTCCAACGTCAACCAACTCAACGTTACTGCCCCTGACAGCACGGTGTGCAACTACACCGCAGGGAAGGGAGGCTTGACAGCGGCCGAGGAATTCTGGCAGTAAGAGTCTGTTATATATAGTGTAGTAAATCGGGCCCCCATGAAGATCCAGGTAGAGAATAGGTCTTCAACAGCCCATGCTTGTCTTAAGTGACGACTATGCTTGTCGAAAGAGGCGACTAACAGGATCAGGTGGTCAGGTTGGCTGTCATCGTATCCCAATTGCGTGGATCGATGCTCATGATATCAACCACTTGATTGTCTGGTCCAGATTCGATTATATACAGACTGCCGTCATATAGCTGAAATATTGCCAAGTGCGGCGTCAACAACAACAATAAATCGGGTATTTCCTATATTGGAGATATGTCGTTATATTGTATTGGTTATGTTTATTAGGCAACATGACCCGTTCCACAAAGCGATCTTAACGCTACGATTGTTGTAAGTCAGTGTTAAAGAATAGTTACGATCGTTTCAGCGCTAAGGCTCGCTGACTTGGTTGATGCATGTCATCGTATCCCAATTGCGTGGATCGATGCTCATGATATCAATCACTTGATTGTCTGGTCCAGATTCGATTATGCACAGACTGACGTCATATCGCTGAAATAGTGCGGCTTTTAACAACAAACAAAGTAGATAGTCTCTCGACTACTGTCAACATTGACACATGTTTAGAAACACCAGTCTTTTAAAGGTGAAAGAGTGTGTATATTCCGGACATTGATATCTGATGCTTCCCACCTCAAGTGACAAAACTCAAGATTTCCTGATGTTTTTGTTTTGTTATCGAGCGTGTTTGAACTGTTGAACTTGAATTTCCAAATTCGATTTATAGACACATTTAATTTGGTCATAATTCTTGTTTTGAATTTTTGTTATATTTTTCATACAACTTGCTTGAAATACGTATTTAAACTGTCCAATCTAAGTAGATGCCTGAAAATTGGTTAAATGTTTTCTTATCTAAGTGCTCACATCCAAAGGTTATTTTGACCGTTCACCTTTAATAATAACTTTTTTTAGAGCTACATTGACTTTGATATTCATTTGTTGCTTTGCTGACGAACCGCCTCACATGTATCTACGCAGTGTTTGAAATACCTGCCTGCCCGACCGTCCGAGACGGGTTGATTTCAACTCGGGCTGCAAGATTTTCAAATCCCCCTGCCCGACGGTCGGGTTATATTTCATATTTGACAATATTCTAAATATTTCCCGATGATAATCATTAATTCACATGTAAAGATGAATGATAAAATGTAACCAAAAAGAAACCTCGTTAGCTTATCCTGAGAAACATATTATTATAGTGGGCAGGCAGGTTTTGGTCAGGGCTGGCAAGTATTTCAGCTAGCCAGTCCTGTGGTCTGGCTGAAATTTTTGGGAGTTTCATACCCTGATCTAAGACCATGTTAATGCTGCAAGGATCTATAGACCTGTGGAGATCCTTGTTAGAATTGGTCCTCGGCATCCCATGCTTGTCGTAAGACGCGTCTAACGGGATCGGGTGGTCAGGCCTTTGGATGATGCATGTCATCGTATCACAAATGCGTAGATCGATGCTCATGCTGTCAATCACGGGATTGTCTGATCCAGACCCGACAAAATTTAAGGAGCATTGCTAAGTGTGACGTTTAACAACAAACAAACAAAACGTAGTTGTAGATAATCTAGTCACATTACAAACATGTACAACCATGAATGAAACATGTTCAGTGAACCTTCGTTAGTGCAGAACCCCCACATTCAGGACAAGCTCTATTGGCATCGTATCATATTAATACAAGTCAACTCTCATTACAACTCTTCTTCGATCCGGATATACTTAATCCGGATGTTTTTTTTAACATAGTATAAAACAACAGAAGTAGAAATATGGTTGATAACACTTATTGACATCCACTGGCTAGTCTTTACAATTCGGCTTTGTCAGCATTCTTGTTAATTGAATTAATAATGCTCCAAGTTATCCTTGTGTTGAATAGAGATGGTGGGGTCCATTGGTACAGCATTCACTGGTTCTTTCAAGTTTGTATTGACGTCACGTTTTGCACGATGTACTATACTCATGACCTCACCGTGTACCCCACATGACACCTGAACCACTATTGCTGCAATCGATTAATTCCTGAAAATTTTCCATAGGCGTCACCGTCAACAGCCATTTGAGTATGACGCAATGAGGGGACAAAGAGAATTGGAGAATGTCCCTTTCAAAACTGACATTCTACAGAATGTGAAATTTGTTTAATGTTCCCGGATGTTTGGCGATATTATTTATGGTTTACTGCATGTGATTAAATGATTGCTGGGTGACCTCTGGTGCTCAGCTGGTTTGCATTCGCGTGTTGTCATCTACAAGTGTTTGAGAGGGGCGGTGGGGTAACCAAACGGTTAAAGCGTTCGATCGTCTCTCTCCAAAATGAGAGCGCACCAACTCACCGTTTGAGATGACAAAGTCTCATTGAACGAAATATTGCAGAAAATAACCCATATCAACTTTGTGTTAACAAAGAAAAAGGATTCATAGTTAGAATGGCTTGAGTCGATGGTACATGGTAGTAATCAGGGTACATCATGGTACATCTTGGTTCATCATGGTACCTCTTGGTTCATCATGGTACCTCTTGGTACATCTTGGTACATCATGGTGTGCATCTTCACCCTCTGTTTACAGGTACAACATGCTGCAGATGTCCTCAGGCGTCACAGAGGTCGGCAACATCCAGTGGCATCTCTTACTGTGTTTCATGGGGGCCTGGCTTCTCATCTTCCTCTGTCTAATGAAAGGAGTCAAATCACTTGGGAAAGTAAGTATTCGCCTGCGCGCTGATATTGGAATAGATTTGCACAAGGCTGGCTCAAAGGCAATAATTATTAGATTAAATCAGCCTTTCTTGATTAGATAAATAATAAGAACAAGTTGTCCCTATAAGAGACTTGGTCCTACCAGACTTGCGTATGATAGAATTACTAAACACCAATGGACTCACCATTTAGTACGGTCTTGGAGCAAGTCTACTGTTGGTACAGCGTGTACTATTCTGTTCCGGGGTGATCTACTGAGGTACTCTGTCTTGTCCCACACTGAAGTGACACGCCCACCCCTCTGTGATCCCCAGTACACCAAACTGTCCCGTCCCACCCATCTCCTGAAGACCAACAGTACATATTTTGGTAATGTCAGTTAATCGTTGTCACCAACGGTGTTAATACCAAACAAACATTTAATAACACGATTGTCACCCATTGTTGTCACCAACGTTGTTAATACCAAACAAGCATTTAATAACACGATTATCACTCAGTGTTGTCACAAACGTTGTTAATACCAAACAATCATTTAATAACACGATTATCACTCAGTGTTGTCACCAACGTTGTTAATACCAAACAAGCATTTAATAACACGATTATCACTCAGTGTTGTCACCAACGTTGTTAATACCAAACAAGCATTTAATAACACGATTATCACTCAGTGTTGTCACCAACGTTGTTAATACCAAACAAGCATTTAATAACACGATTATCACTCAGTGTTGTCACCAACACTGTTAATACAAAACAACATTTAATAACAAGATTATCACCAAGTGTTGTCACCAACGTTGTTAATACCAAACAAGCATTGAATGACATGATAATCACCCAGTGTTGTTACCAACACTTTTAATACCAAACATGCATTTAATGACATGATGATCGACCATTGTTGTCACCAACGTTGTCAATACAGTGAAACCTCATTAATCCGTAAGGTAGCGTTCTCCTGAAATTGTCCGGATTAACAACTTTCCGGATTAACGATTACGGAGAAATGTTAATTTGTATACATTGAAACAGTCCCACCAGTAATCGTCCAGAATGTGAGGTGTCCGGATTGACGGGGTCCGAACTAACGAGGTTTCACTGCACCAACATTGTGACCCAGTTGCCAACAACTTCCCCCTTCTTGTATTACTGTGACTGCTTCTTCCTCTCCAGGTGGTGTACGTGACAGCGACCATTCCCTATCTGCTCCTCACTATCATCCTCATCAGAGGGGTCACGTTGCCGGGGTCTTATGAGGGTATCATCTTCTATCTGAAGCCGGACTTCACCAAGCTCCTTCACCCACAGGTCAGTAACGCGTTCCCCCCTTCCTCTGTGAAGTAGCTCCACGCCACTCTGTTCCTTGTTGAAATTGAATCTGGTTGTCAGTTGTTAAGGATGGCACGGGTGGCCCAGTCGCCTAAGCAGCCGCATTTCGCTGTGCTTAGTTGCGCCCCTTGGGCAAGCCAGAAACCTATCAGTGTGGGTTCGAATCCCGGTTCGACCCGATTATGTTTCTAGGTTTGTCAAACCATACCCATCCGTGCTCGTGGGTTTCACCAAAGACGTAAACGTCTTAGACGTGAAACGGGTTTTCCTTCCACGTGATTCACCTGGAATACTGTTCAAAGCGACCTTGAACCCAACTCACTCACTCACTCACTCACTCACTCACTCACTCACTCACTCACTCACTCACTCACTCACTCACTCACTCACTCACTCACTCACTCACTCACTCACTCACTCACTCACTCACTCACTCACTCAGAGTGTTGATGTGTTTGATTGCGTGTTGTCGTACTTCAACATGGAACGTTGCTCATGATATCGACCATTTGTTTAACTAGATTGTTAACAGGTCGTCGTGGTAAAGATGTCTAGCTGCTTGCAGCGTTAAAAACAAAAGAAACTATAACAGATAAAGTTTCTGAATCATATTGTGTTTGTTTATTTCTTTAACACCGCACTCAGCAGTATTCGAGCTATATGACGTCGGTCTGTAAATAATCGAGTCTTGTCCCCAAAATCCAGGGATTGATATCATGAGCATCGATGAACGCAATTGGGATACGATAACATGCATCACCACTACTCGCCCCTTTCGACAAGCATAGTCGCCTTTTACAGCAAGCATGGTTACTGAAGACCTTTTCTACCTCGGATCTTCATGGAATCATATTGTGACTGGTGCCGAGGGATGGAATGAGTGAATTCTTTTTTTTTTTGCGCCTCATTGAACTGTGTTGTTCAGTTATTTTACCTAATCAGCTTAAGATGTGTTGAATAGCCCACGTGATGCAGGTCTTAGGCCTTTACAACCCACGAGCAGAGGTTTGTCAAACCAAGAATCATAATCTACCGTCATAGGATTCTGGCACGCCAAAGGGACGTAACTCTTCAAAGCGAATTATGGCTCCTCGCCCCGCCTTATAGATTTGTATGCCATTGATTTCATGATTTTAAATTTATCGGTATACCCCACGCTTATACAGTGCTACCTTTCATCGTGAACACACTGTAGCTGATACTATTCTAACCGTATCACTAATCGTGAATACGTTATTTCATTGCTAACACACATGGCGAATATGTTATTTCATTGCTAACACACATGGCGAATACGTTATTTCATTGCTAACACACATGGCGAATACGTTATTTCATTGCTAACACATATGGTGAATACGTTATTTCATTGCTAACACACATGCTGAATACGTTATTTCATTGCTAACACACATGGCGAATACGTTATTTCATTGCTAACACACATGGCAAATACGTTATTTCATTGCTAACACACATGGTGAATATGTTATTTCATTGGTAACACACATGGCGAATACGTTATTTCATTGCTAACACATGGTGAAAACGTTATTTCATTGCTAACACACATGGTGAATACGTTATTTCATTGCTAACACACATGGTGAATACGTTATTTCATTGGTAAAACACATGGCGAATACGTTATTTCATTGCTAACACATGGTGAAAACGTTATTTCATTGGTAACACACATGGCGAATACGATATTTCATTGCTAACACACATGGTGAATACGTTATTTCATTGCTAACACACATGGCGAATACGTTATTTCATTGCTAACACATGGTGAAAACGTTATTTCATTGCTAACACATGGTGAATACGTTATTTCATTGCTAACACACATGGTGAATACGTTATTTCATTGCTAACACACATGGCGAATACGTTATTTCATTGCTAACACATGGTGAAAACGTTATTTCATTGCTAACACACATTGCGAATACGTTATTTCATTGCTAACACACATGGTGAATACGTTATTTCATTGCTGACACACATTATGAATACGTTATTTCATTGCTAACACACATGGCGAATACGTTTGTAGCCGAGCCTACTTTATGCTACTCTTTATCACACCATTCCTTTTCCCAGTTCTAATCCCCTTCGTCGTCAGAACATATGATACGTTAGCCTGTTCAGTGCAAATTTTCATAATACTCTGGCCTTTTCAATGACCCAGAGTACGGTGGTACATTGGCCTATTCAGTGACGTTTTTCGCCGACTATGATAGTACTGAATCCTAATCAAATGCCGCCTCTGTTGAAGTACGCTGATTCTTTGGCCTAATTTATTGCTTTAAATATAATTTCATAAGAAAATGGGTATCCCTCAGACTCTTTGGCGCTGTAATTCATAGCGTGTGTGTTATGAAGCTCTTGTCCTACTACCATTCATTGGTTGCTCTGACGACTTCCATCAAAAGGTGTCGTGGTGGATCATTCCCTCAACCATTCAAACCGCTCATGTTCCCCTAAATCAATATATTCTTCAAGCAGCGAGAAGAACATTCGAAACACTGCTGATTTGACGTCCTACTTTAATTAATCACATCCCCACGGCTGTTTTTCCAATCATTGATTTCTAAATTCCCCGGTTTCAGTCTGCGTGGACAAAGTCGCGCTTTCATCTCCGCAGGATGCTGGTTACATCATCGCCCCGGATACGCAATCGTCTGTTTATTGATAGTTGTAACGTAACATCCATTGACCGTTACAGAAATGACCAAAAGAACGCTAACGAGGTTACTTCAAAGATTATTTCGAGTACAATATTGATTAATATTTCAAGAAAGTCAGTGATGTTAATTCGCTTGTTATTTCTCATGAAACATTTGATAGTTATGGCGTGTGTATGTGTGTGTGTGAGGGGGGGGGGGGGGTATATGCTATCCTCCCGAAATAACACTACAGTCTAAATCAACATAGTACCGGCGTACCACATTTTAACACATTTTTTATGTTCGGATCTGACTCATGTATTTCCAGGTCTAGTTTATTCTGGCGTGGTTATTTTGTCTGTAATTACTTTGTTAAATCAAACCTTATGTTCTGGCTCAATGATTACTGTTTCGTTGTAATGGGTTTTTTATATGGTGATTGGCGGTGATGCACGTAAGCAGCGTCTTTTGAATTAGTTGATTAGTTGCAAGTGTATGCACATTGCAAAGGAAGCCGTATGGATTTGTGCATTGTAATAGCATTTTAGAAGCAGAAATTTCAATCCATATAAAACGACAAAACCTTTCCATAATCATAGAAGAAGAAGAATATTTATTGTACATAAACACCCACAGGTTGATTAGTTGCAAGTGTATGCACATTGCAAAGGAAGCCGTATGGATTTGTGCATTGTAATAGCATTTTAGAAGCAGAAGTTTCAATCCATATAAAACGACAAAACCTTTCCATAATCATAGAAGAAGAAGAATATTTATTGTACATAAACACCCACAGGGAGCAGGGTACAAAACATGAACATGACTAATAAAAACATTGACATACAAACAGAATACAAATATTGCTATGATTATATTGTTAGGGAGGAGATGCAGATTTTCTTTGCCTGAACATTTTGTTGATGACATATAAGAAATCTCCATCGTACTATTTTGACCATATTAACAACGCGTGTCGGTCCGACGTTGATTAATGAACAATTTTGCATACTCGTATATGCAAGAGGCCGACGTATGGTTCTCAGTAGGAAGTGACAACTTGGAGACGATGGCTTGCGGTATATACAGTTTTACTTTATACATGTAGATTTATACATACAGAAGACACTATGTGCCAGGTCAGCACATGGTGGTAGTGGTTGTTGTCTAGGTGCCCCGGAGCACCCAGCCTAACCCTAGCTAGGCTAAGGGTAAGACCTTTCTTTTCTCCTCTCTTTGGACCAAGGCTAATTTATCCAAGGTCACCTGACATTCAGTAAGTAATAAATATAAATGTAAACAGTAAATCATCAGTGACATACTTGCACATCCTGTTCAGGATGGCAGACGGTCGATGTACACAAAAATGGGGATTAACAAATAGGATTAGCATCTAATAAATAACAGCAATTAAATGTTTCAAGGCATATAGATGTCATGGCTCCAGGGTAATGAGCCTTTGCAATTAAATGTTCTTCAGACAATGGGTGTCGTAAATCAGTCGCCATGACCATATCATAAGCATGTGTTTATGACTGTTAATTTCGGAGTTTGGGTTGACATGGACTTCTGCCTCTGTTTTCTTTCAATAGGACATTTCAGTAACCTTATTACGCACGCTAGTGTGTATGTGTGTGTGTATGTGGGTGTGTCCCTCTGTGTGGGTGTGTCCCTCTGTGTGGGTGGGTGTGTCCCTCTGTGTGGGTGGGTGGGTGTGTGGACGAATTACATACAGAGAAACCTTACTATCTCGAACTGGTCCATCACAATATATCATTGAACACGACATACACACACAGTCCTAGCAGAATTCTTACTGACATTATGGTCGAATGTTGGAATTAGCCTTATCTTGAACAACTGATAACCCGTTATAGTGGACTTTTACTCATAAGAACCATGCTCCACTATTTTGGTGTTCTCGTTAACAAGGGTACATTATCGTGTTGCTTTGCCACAGTAAATGATTGTGAAACTGATGCCTTCCAGACCACCGCGAGAGGTCATGAACTCGATGTCGGTCGATAATCATGTATGGAAGCATTTGTTTAAGTTGACCGAATTCCCAGGAAGGCCCCAGAGTGGGCAACACATGGTCTAAGATATCTGCGTAAACACTGGCCTGACCTTTGGCAGTGGCTATTTGAACCACAGCATCTGGTTCACCGATCACTCCCTAAAGTACATGATATCCTTGATAAGCATTACTTAGAAGTTGACGAACCCGGGTCTTCGGCGTGACGAGCGAACGCTTTAAGCACTAGGCTACCCGACCGCCCCAGTTGACGGATGACAAAATAGAGACAA